CTCACATATAAGTGCATGCACTTATATGCGGCGTAATACGGTACTAATAAGAATCCAATGTAACAAATAATTTCCAAAAAATAAGTGCATGTATTGAAGTTGACTAAAATTCGTCTTTGTTTCCAACAGTTATTTCTTCGGTTTCAAAGAATATCTCAACAATTTATTCAATTTTATTTCACATATAATCTTAACGACTTGTATATATAAAGTTATCTCTAATACCCACAGATTGCAGCCCAAGGACTATATCATGGAATTTACAGTACTGTATGTTTTACTATTACTCAATACAGATTAACAAAAAATATTTCGAATAAGTTATTAAGGTTAATTCCCCAATTCACCATGATATTTACTGTATTCATTTACTTAATACAGTTATACATATTTACTTAATACATTACAATCACTAATAGCACCCCTTATTTTGTAAAACGCATAACCCTTTTGATGACGACAACCCATAGACTACGGTATATATAGAATTGTCTATAAAATTCAAGTGGGAGTAAAGCATTCACTACAAACAATTATATTTCCTAATACCCCGATGTATTGTCTCAATTAGATGGCACGCTATTACAGATGCAGTAATTGTAGGCAATATTCCTTGAGATCCGGAATACCTCTACTTTAGACATAGATTGAGATTTTAAATACAAAAATAGTCACTTATTCTGATCTCATGCTTAAAGCACTTAATGGATCCGACATTCAATGCATTGAAAGTAATATTCCTTGAGATCCGGAATACCTCTACTTTAGACATAGATTGAGATTTTAAATACAAAAATAGTCACTTATTCTGATCTCATGCTTAAAGCACTTAATGGATCCGACATTCAATGCATTGAAAGTCAAACTAATCGTAATATTAGTGGAAAGAGTACTTTCTTTCGTCATTACAATGTATGGTAAATATGATATATTTAATAAGATATGACTTTTCATATTTCAATTGCATTTTATCATGTGATAATGTGTGGCAATGGTTTTATCGTTATGATTTTTGATTTATTTTTATAAATAACAATATTGTTATTCTTATCACTTTTAATTATTAAATGCTATTAAAAATTAATATAACGGTTGAAATTTAATTATTGTCTCGTTTATCGAAAATTCTGTGTTTATAACGTATTTATAAACAGTTGGTTTCAAAATTATTTTAGACATTACCGGAGATTTCAATGTCTGGTAAATAAGTGGAAAAAGTGAACACTTGTCTCATAAATAGACTTTAATTCGTATGAAAATAGTTGACTCATCTGAAAGTTGGGTACATTTGAGTGCAAATTCTGTTTATAAAAACGTACTTTTGGTAAAGAAGTTCATCACTCGAGCATTAATTGTTCAATAAATCTTCGCAAGTGTTGCCACAGTTTTACATATCAAAGATCATTGCATATCAATGGCTATCAAAAGGGATCGAAGTTTGTGCACCGGTAGTCAGTATCACTTACCACTTCCAAGCGGCCCCTATCCTAATATTGGTTTTGTGGATATTATGACTGGAAGTGATAAAAACGATGGTATATTAGTTCGCGTACTCTATCCGGCATTGGATCAGACGACAGATATTAGGACGCGGGTGAAGGAGTGGGCGAAGTGGACACCGCATGACAATTATAAGGCGGGATATCTAAAAGTAGTTAAGTTACCGGATCCACTCGTCCGGTTAGTGACCTCTTTGAGTACCGATTACTTCATACCAATACTCGAGAACGTGGATCCGCTTCGACCAGAAGGACATGAGTTCCCTATCATTGTCTTCTCGCACGGACTCTCCAGCTGTCGGACCACTTATTCTAGTGTTTGCACTGAATTAGCTTCACATGGATTTATAGTCTTCGGTGAGAATCTTATTCTAAATCAATTGCAAAGTTTAAAGTTTTGGATAATTTTTTGTCATAACTTTTAATATTTACAAAACAATGAAACATGTTTTGAAACATAATTAGGAAATAGATATCTTTATTATACACAAAATGATAGATCAGAATGTGAATACAATAATTATTGTCTTATTATGAGATAAACTTTATTTTATTGATATTTCGATAACTCTATCACATAATGGATGAGTTTTGTTCATGACTTTCGTGTAGGCATTAAGTGTAATGTATCACAAACTTGAAGGCAATTGTAATTAGTTTAAAACATTTTACTAAAGATTAATATCAAAAACAATCAGTCATCCAATATATAGTGAATATTGTTTATTAAATAGCTATTGTGTAAAAAAAGATGAACAAATTAAATGAATAATTGATTGTTTGTTTGATATAGTGGTTGAACACAGAGACGAGTCGGCGGTCACCACTTTCTACCCGTCCAGCGATGGGTCATTCAAATGGCTTCCATACCGTCACGTCAAGCTCTATGACAACGACCTACCGATCCGTAGGGAACAACTCGACCTCAGAGTCACCGAAATTAAGAGAGTTATAGATATAATAAATGACATTCAAAACGGAAATAAAATACAGAATGTCTTAAAGAGTGAGTTTAAAATGGATCAGTTGTCGGGTCTCTTGGATCTCAACAAAATCATATTAATGGGCCATTCATTTGGTTCTTCGACTGTCATCAAGTCGTTGACAGCCCTGGATTGTGTGCCAATCGGCGTGTGTTTAGACGCCTGGATGTATCCGGTGGAGGAGAATGAGTCCAATCTTGTGAAAGAACCCCTTCTGTTTGTAAATATGCAAACTTTTCAAAACAAACCAAATCTCAAACGTATGAAGGATTACATTGGAATCAATGGCACAAATACTACCGACAGAAAAGTGATTACAATAAAAGAGGCCAAACATACGGATCAGAGCGACATTCCGTTCACACTTCCGCCGCCACTCCTCTGGTTATTCGGAATGAAGTCAAAAGTGGATCCGTTTGTCGCACACGACTTGACCACTGGTCTCGCACTTGACTTCATTGCAGACAAACTTAAACGTGAGCTAAATATCACAAAATGTTTCATTAATATCTAAATTGTATTTTATTTTAATTTAAGTGAAACTCAAAAAAGACAAAAAGGAAATCATAGAAAAATACGGTAAAAAACTAATCGACGGAATCGATCCGAGTTTGTGGCAAACAGATGGGCTTTAATTAGGATTAAATTGTCCTCGTTGTACATATAGGCTCTTTAGTATAGATTATGATGTAAATTATGATTATTAAAATTATCACTTTGGAAATGTTTACAAAATATGTGACTATTATTTATTAAATAAATATCTATTGATTTACTAATTAATATCACTTTTCACAAAATATTCGTGGTCTAAAACTGTAATTATTAGGCATTGATTGGATATAATAATTGTCTCATTTATTGAAAATTCTTGTTTATACTTATTTTAAAAGAGTTTGTTGTAAAAATAAAACTTTTAAACTTTCAAAAGTTTTGAATGTCCAATAGATAGTGTGGTAAAAGTAATCACTTGTCTTATAGACTTTAATTCACAGGACAATAGTTTTATCATCTGAACGTTGGGTACATTTGAGTGATAATTGTGTTTATATAAACTTACTTTTGGTGAAAAAATTCATCACTTAAACAGTAATTGTTTAATAAGTCATCGCAAGTGTTGCCGCAGTTTTATTTCAAAGATCATTGCATATCAATGGCCATCAAACGGGATCGAAGTTTGTGCACCGGTAGTCGGTATCACTTACCGCTTCCAAGCGGTCCGTATCCTAACATTGGTTTTGTAGATATTATGACTGGAAGTGATAAAAACGATGGTATATTAGTTCGCGTACTCTATCCGGCATCGGATCAAACGACAGATATCAGAACTCGGGTGAAGGAGTGGGCGAAGTGGACACCGCATGACAATTATAAGACAGGTTATCTAAAAGCGGTTAACTTACCAAATCCAATCATCCGAGTGTTAACCGCTTTGGGTTCCGATTACTTCATACCAATACTCGAGAACGTGGATCCGCTTCAACCAGAAGGACATGAGTTCCCTATTATTATCTTCTCTCACGGAAACGCCGGCTGTCGGACCAGTTATTCCAGTGTTTGCACTGAATTATCTTCACATGGATTTATAGTCTTCGGTGAGAATCTTGTTGTAAACCAATTAAATTAATTGTTTGTTTGCTGTAGTGGTTGAACACAGAGACGAGTCGGCGGTCACCACTTTCTACCCGTCCAGCGATGGGTCTTTCAAATGGCTTCCTTTCCGTCACATCAAGCTTTACGACAACGACCTACCGATCCGTAGGGAACAGCTCGACCTCCGAGTCACCGAAATCAAGAGAGTTATAGATTTAATAAATGACATCCAAAACGGATCTGAAATACAAAATGTCTTAAAGAGTGAGTTTAAAATGGATCAGTTGTCGGGTCTCTTGGATCTCAACAAAATCATATTAATGGGTCATTCGTACGGTTCATCGACTGTAATCAAGTCTTTGATAGCCTTGGATTGTGTGCCAATCGGCGTGTGTTTAGACGCCTGGATGTATCCATTGGAAGAAAATGATTGGTCACTTCTTGAGAAAGAGCCCCTTCTGTTCATAA